ACCTGATGAGCGCTGATTCCAGGACCGTCCCCAGCAGACCACAGGCACCGGGTCTCAAGCGGCAGCAGCAGCGGTTCCCGCGCTTCTGAGGCTTTGCTCCAGCAGACCAGGGGCACCGGAGCAGCTTACGAACGGGGCTTTCTCGCCCTGGAGCTCGCAGGTAGCAATCCGCTACCTCGACCTCCGGGGCGAGAAAGTCCCGTTCGTAAGTGCGGATCCGACATAAGTCGGATCCGCGTAAGTCGGGGACTGCCTGTATAGGCAAAGATGGGAGTGCATCAGGGATAAACAGAGCCCTTTCTTAGAATCAAAGAATGCTAGAACTGGAAGAGACCTTGGGAGGTCATCAAATCCAGTCCCCTGCACTTATCGCAGGGCCAAGTATCATCTTCTAAATTATCCCTGAAAGCTGTTTGTCTAACTCATGGGTGGGGAACCTTAGGCTCAGGGGCCAGATGCAGTCCCCAGCTTGCCTGGATCTGGCCCCCAGGGAGCACGGGGCTGGCACTCCAGCCCCCGCTGCACTGTGCCCAACTGATTTTTCCATGGGTCAGCGGTCCACAACCCAAAAAGATGCCTCGCCCCTGCTCAAACCTGCTCTTAAAAATCTCCAATGATAGAGATTCCACAACCTCCCTAGGTAATTTATTCCCATTTTTTCCCCAAATGTCCAACCTAAATCTCCCTTGCTGCAATTTAAGCCCATTTCTTCTTGTCCTATCCTCAGAGGTTAAGGAGAATAATTTATCTCCTTCCTCCTTGTAGCAACCTTTTAGATACTTGAATGTTGTTATGACCCTTCTCAGTCTTTTCTTTTCTACACTAAACAAACCCAGTTCTCTCAATCTTCTCTCATAGGTCGTCTTTTTTAGACTTTTAATCATTTTTGTTGCTCTTCTCTGGACTTTCTCCAGTTTGTCCACATCTTTCATGAAATGTGATGCCCAGAACTGGACACAGTACTCCAGCTGACGGCTAATCAGGGCAGAGTAGAGTGGAAGAATTACTGCTCATGTCCTGCTTAAAACATTTCTAACAACGCATCCCAGAATTATATTTGCTTTTTTTGCAACAGTGTTACAATGTTGATTCATATTTAACTTGTGGCTCACTATGACCCCTAATTTTCTTTCTTCAGTACTTCTTCCTAGGTAGCATTTACCATTTTGTATGTGTGAAACTGATTGTTCCTTCCTAAGTGGATTACTTTGCCTTTGTCCATATTGAACTTCATCCTATTTACCTCAAACAATTTTTCCAGTTTGTCCAAGTCATTGTGAATTTTAATCCTGTCCTCCAAAGTAGGGATATAAGTGATTAGTCAACTAGTCGTCTATCCGATAAGCAAAAGCTTATAGGATGGTCAACTAGTCCCTCAACTAGTCACTTCTATCAGAGGCAGCAAGGGGGAGGGGAGCAGAAGCCAATGCTGGGGGTAGCCGGTTTAAAAGCCAGTTCCCCTCCCCCCAGCACTGTCTCCACAGGGGCTGGGGAGGCAAGAACATAGTGGGGATCAGATGCCAGCTGGGACAGCTGATTCTCAGCTTACATTGGGTCCCCCCCTGCTATGCTTTAGCCTTTTAAGTGTATTAAGAGCCAGCAGGCTCTTAATACATTTAAAAGGCTAAAGCGCAGCAGGAGGGACCCAGCACCAGCCGAGATAGCTGATTCCCGGCTCGCGCTTTTGGTTGTGCCTACTGGAGCTGCAGTGGCCAGGGAGAGGCACTTCTTACCTGGCTCCAAGCTTCTGTGGTGAGAGAGCTGAGAGAGCTGGGGTAAGTCCTCTTTCTCGGATAGCCTGGATACTGAACTCCTCAGCCCCAATCTCATTGCAAGAGCAATGATTTAAATGAAGAAAAACACATATTAATTGAGAGCAACTCTGGGTAAATCTTCTAGTATGGTATATAATTTCAATATTGTGAATAGTGAAGAATAATCCTTGGAACTAGATGGTGTTAGTATAATGACAATTTGGGGTTACTCTTTTTACAGTTTATTAATTCTGGGTGATATTATGAAATTATTCATATAAAAATTAGGGTAGCAGGCAACGTGTCCAGGTCAGCATATATACCATTGCTGATAAGCTTTTATGCTCATTTCTCCCAGACCAGTAACAAGAGATGATTGTTAAGGACTATCATCACCTGACAAAGTTTTACCTGTGGAGAATAGTAACAGCATTGTAAGGGAAACCAATTTCAATAAATACCATGTGAATATATTTCACCTCTAGTTGTGACTATATATGCACAGTATTAAAACCACTAAATTACCAAGCTTTACATTAAGAATTATGCTTTGTAACTTAAAGTATAAAGTCTGCTGAAAGTCTGCTTTGTAACTTAAATGGTGAACAATTTACAGATGAAAAGGTTAACCTGGGAGTGGTACGTGCTTAATTACGCCAGCCATAATAATAGTGACACCATGTGGCACCAAAGCACTAGTGAGCAGCTTTCTTGGGTATCATAAACTCTGAGGGTACGGCTACACCGTGGGGTTTTTTTTTCGAAGAAAGTATGCAAATTGCGTTTGCATGTGCATATCTTCCTTTGATTCTTTTTCCAGAAGAGGATTTTATGTTATTTGCCCGGCTACACAGTGCTAAATGTTGGAAAATCCTCCTCTTTCAGAGGCCCCCTGTACACCTCGTTTTATGAGGAACTAGGGGGCTTCCAAAAAAGGTTTTTTTCCTGACATTTGACTGTGTGTAGATGGGCCAAATATCGGAAAATCCTCTTCCAGAAAAAGAATCACAAGAAGATATTCAAATCAAGCGCAATTTGCATACCTTCTTTGAAAAAAACCCACAGGGTAGCCGTACCCTGAGTGTCCAGCTACAATTTCATTTCCTTGTGTTATCTTATTTATTTCAGGCTTCTGTGCTAATGATATGGGGAAATTGCTTTAATCAGTGAAAAAATACCACAGAGACTAATAAATCTGAATCTCGTCACATAATATTGTCCAAAAGAAAATAGGCACACTTGTAAAGAAGATTGCTTGGTAGTTTATTTACAATAGAATGTAAAAGAAAAGTAAGTTATTAACAATAATAAATAACTGAAAAAACAGCAACTAAGTGATAAAGATGACAGATGAGAGAATAAAAATCTTCTGCTTAGCCTTGCATTGTTTAACATACAGCACATTTCAAAGCTTGGTCCTTCTCTGATGACAGTGGTACATTCTCTAATTTAAATGTCATAACTCTAATCTAAAGCTAGACACAAAGGATTACAGGACATTCAAAGTCACATGGAACTTTCACAGAAATGAAATTTAAAAAAATTACTGGTAATCTGTATTAGTGACACCCCAAAACTAGAGGAGACTGCAATTCAATGATGATGCTGTCCATTTAAAGCAAAAACATCGTTAGACTCAGTTGGCCTCAAGCATTTTAGAACGTCGACAACTAAATTAAATCTGAATAATGGCCTCTAAAAGTTCCGATTGACAAATTCATGTATTCTCTCTTAATGCACTTACTTACTAACTCACAAAAAGCATGTATGTTCAGTCTAAATAGCAGCAAACCCCAAAGATTGTAACTGTCTTATTGCCAAATTAAAGTCACAGGACAAATAGTCCAGTTTCAAAATATCTGAGCGCTTTATGTTCTTTAATGTATTTGGATAATAATACTAGTGAATGTGAATTTTGTCTTCAGTGGAGCAAAATCGTCACCTAAAATCTGGATATGACCAAAGAGCAACTATACCTTTCTATTGGATTATTTTGTAACTCTTACCTATGTGACAAGTTATCACTGTAGTGAAAAATCCCACTAAACTGTATTACTAAGAGTATTCACACAAATAAGAGTGGCAGGACCAGGCCCTTGCAAGTTCTTATTCGGAGAAATCTCTCTTTGTATTTCAGTAGGGCTATGTCTATACTGGCGGGTTCTTGTGCAAGAGTTCCTGTACAAGAACTCTTGCGCAAGAACACGTCTACACTGCCATGTGCTTTTGTGCAAGAGCATCCATGGCAGTGTGGATGCTCTCTTGCGCAAGAAAGCTCTGATGGCCATTTTAGCCATAAGGCTTTATTGTGCAAGAAACCCCTGCCGCGCGTCCACACTACCCTCTTGCGCAAGAGAGCTTACACTTGTTAGAAGAGAGCATAGCTCTTGAGCAGGAAGCCCTCTCTTCCCATGCTTTACTGTAAATCTTGCGCAAGAGTGGGTCGGCATGTGGATGCTCTGCGGAAGAACGGCCGTTCTTGCACAAGAACCCGCCAGTGTAGTGTAGACGTAGCCTAGGTGTTCTATGTGTGTCAGGACTGTAGGATTGGGCCCTCAAGTGTGAGCATCTTTCTGCAAGGTATAATTACATATAAAAGTTGGAGCAAGATGGGAGAAAGATTTTAAAAAAATAAGCCAGTCACTTTATCAACTTCATTGTGCTCTTGATAGTTTTTTTTTTGTAGAGCCTCACTATGGTTATATAATGTAATTCTCCAGTCGTGGCAGCAGGGCAAAAGGAGGCTACAGAATTATTAAATAACTTCAGTTTTGCTGCATTACATCAGACCTTAAGAATGTGCCTACTACAAATGATTTTTTCTACAAAAGAAGTCATCAACATGTGCAAAGTACTCTATTTCCTGTGCCTCCCCACAAACATGTCTGAAAATTCCACAAAAGGTATTTTTACAAAATCCATTCACAAGTCCACAAGAAAATAAATGTTTTCTCAAAACATGTTGTCAGAAAAATATTCTAGACTGCTTTTGTGTGTGCGTACATAAATAACATGGTAGAAAACAGATAATCCTGCCATGACAAAAGAAAATGATATGACATTGAAAAATTATTTTGAGAGCGTATTTAATGGTAGAAACACTGTGGAGAAAACAGAGCAGAACACAGCATAGAATGCTTGTGTAGTTTGTGAAAAGCACGATGTATCTTATGGTGCCTTCTCGTCCAAAGCAGTGACCTTCTATTTGCCTCCATCAAAACCCACATTAAAGGCAAGTGTGGATTACACTGATCCCCATTTTGGCTAGCAGTGAATTAGAAAAGTTAGTTGTCCATTTAGTAAACATTATACTTCTGTAATACAGTACTGGTGAATGGAGTTCAGAGTTATAGCATTGCAACGCATGCAGAGGCATAGTATTAACTTTAAGGATTCATTATTTTCCATTGCATGCTCAGTCAGTGCTTTTCTCTTTCCTAAATACCACCATGCAGCTATTTAACTTGAATCACTTTAAAATATGCTAATAATTTTCATACATGCCTGATCCCCAAACCTACATATGATAATAATCTTATCCACAAGGATAGGAACGTTTGACACTAAAAAAAAATAAACAAATGAGTAAAGCTATGTCCTAATGATCTGTGTGAAACATTCAGAACCAAATAAAAGAATATCAACATTTATTTGTATACATGCAGAAATTATGCATACTTAATTAGTACACACATCTGTTAATTAAAGTCCTAAGATGATGTAGGGTACTTTAGCATTTGGTACTTGTGGTATTACACTAGCTAAAACCCACACAAGTATCAATCACCAGTTAATTTACTAAGCACATGTAATTGCTGGCTTTGAGATGCAAGGACACCCCAAAACTATGGACAATCTATAAGATAATGGATGAAGTCATACTGTAGGCTAACCTACAAAGAGTTACTGGATTTTGTTACTCTTGGGACTTTCAAATACACATTTTCAGTGTCATTCTTCTCCTCCCTCTCCTATTAGTCAAACTAGCCCATCAAAATCAGACATTCACCTTAGCATCTACTATTGGACATGGAGCAATTTGGACAGTCAAAAGGTTTAAAACAGTGAAACTTTTCCACAAATAAAAATCATCCTGCCATGCTCGGAAGATGGTACAAACATATTCCACCCAGGGAAACGTTATCCACAAACTAATTCACCGTTCAGCAATACTTTGACCCTTTGAGGTCCATTTCTTTTCTTCACCATGTGCATTATAGTTGACAGTACAAGACACCATCTCAATATGACTATGTAATTCAGATAATATCCACGTTTCACTGGCATTTCAAATGACTCATTTAAAGTCTGTTACAACAACGGGGCTAGATGATGATATTAGTTAAATAGCGTCACAGAGGACTACACACAATGGTAGCACTGCAGAGAACTAAACTATTGTGAAAGTTAACAACGTGCCCCATGCCTGGACATCTGTAGAAAAGTTTTCTCCATAAGGCAGAATCTTAGAAAGGAAGGAAGTGGCTCTATTTCCCTGGTGGTTTTCTTTTTTAACTCCTGGCTTTGGGAGAAAAATCTATTTTCTGACTCTCCCCTCCCCTATGACTGATTTCATTATCAGGCCAGGGATGTTACTCCCCTTCCCCACATGTCATATTACATATAACTGAGTTGCCAGGAGTCTCCTTTATATTTTGTAAGTCACGTCTTTCATTTCTCTCCCCTTTTAGAGACCAATGACAAAGTCGGAGACTTGCTTCCTGCTACTGTAGACTGCACTTAGCATGAAAGGAAAGGGACAGAGTAAGGGTAAGACTTTTCCCTCTTTTAGGAAGCCCAGAGGCTCCCTGTATGTCCCCCCTCAATGCCTATGAGGCCTCCTATCACAGTCCTTCGTCCAGTGAGGACAGGATAGAAATCATCAAATCTTCTCCTTAATTGGCTAAACCGGCAACTGCTGAATGACTCCTTTTTGTTCAAGGGCTGACTGTGCTGTCTCTACAACATTATTATCCTGTTAGCCCATGAAGCAAGAAACTGAGACTGGGATCAGAAACTGAATCTGAACATATAACCCATCAGAGCACAGCAAAGGTCATGGCTGAAGATCTTGAAAGAACTTTCCAGGGGTGGACCTATAAAAAAATGTTTCTTTTCGGGATATTTACTCCCAAGTGCTGTTCCAAAGCATTGTGGCCTAGTTATTCACTATCTATGCTCAATGAACAACTATTCTGTGTCTAGCAAAACACCAGAAAGTATGCCCAAATGAATTTCTTCCCCACCTTTAGAAGAATACCTCCCTTATTAAGCTCCAGATTGTATACACTCCCTCGTGGTTATTTATGACCTGAGTCAAAGCCCATGAAAGCAATGGGAATCTTTCCACTTGCTGCAATGAGATTTGGATCAGACCCTTAAAGCTGGTTTCATTGTAACTAGCCAAGAGCTCAGTGGATGAATGACAGGAGTGTTATGATGACAGCTTCACTGGGAGAAGGCTTTTGCATTATTTGGACTCTTTAAACTATTTAGCTGCTCTGTGTTTCCACCTTTTTTTATAGTTGAAGCAGGAGTCACAAATACCAGCACGCACTTGAGAGATCACAAGAGGATAGGGGAGAACTAGTAAAATACACTATAAACAAGAAATGGGTGGAATCTTTTATAAATTCTGTGCAAGGTACAAATAGTTCAATGGCCTTAAAGTCAGTATTACTAATTACAATTGGAGCCTTGGTGCATTGGTTATTTAGTTTTAAAAAGTGTAAAGTTTGTGTTAGCTAGGCCCCAAATCCTGAGTCATATTAAGCAACATCTGAATTTGAATCATTGCTGTTGGTGTTCAAGTATCAATGTGTAGCAGTTCAAAGATTTAGGATTAGACATAATAAGCCTGAGAGTAGAAAAACTTTTAGAAATTCCAATATAGGAGGAGAAAATTAGACTTTTGCCTTTTTAAAATTAACCCTACACCTAAATTGACACTAGTTCCCTTCAGAAATCCTTGCCAGCTTTAATAACTACCTACAGCATTTCACAATTGCAGGCTATTCTCAGACTACTTAAATTCACATTAATAGCATGTGCCCTATGGCTTTGAACTTTACTTTGGGAATCAGAATATATGAACTATGTTCTTTCGCATGCACTTATTTTAGGGTTTTAAGGAACAAGTCTGAGTAAAGAAATCATCTTTCTAGCTTGGTAAAACCATTAAAAAAACCAAACAAACCACCACTACGAGCTTTGTAAATGTAAAGTTACTCTTGTTCTGGCAGACATTGCTTGTCAGAAGGAAACACGCTGGGTTAAATTTAAAGTGTTTTTTTCTCTGGATCTGGAAGCGTGAGGGTTTCTGGAGCTGATTTTTTCCGAGGTCGGTCTTTGGGAACTGCTAGGAATTCAGGAGCTTCTGAGGATAGAGGAGTGGATGGAGCACTAGAGGGAGCACTACGGGTTGATGAAGGCAGGGAAATGTTAGAGATAGATATTGCAGGTGGGAAAATCCCAATTTTCTGGTTGGTGGCTTCCTGAGTTGCACGTTCAAATTCTCGGACTTCATCCATCGTCATGTCTTTAATGACAAGAAAAGAAAGACAAATGGAAAGTTAGAACCCCTTGAAAGAGGATTTCAATAGCCCCATTGCAACTATTGCCATCAAAATCTAAAGCAAAGGATGTGTTCTCATCCCAGTATGAGAAATTCATGTATCGGAATTCCACTAGAGTTAACAGGAGCTCTGGTCATAGTTTTCATAAGGTCACTGATTTTAGGTGCCTACCCTGACACACACTTAAACCTGATTTTTAGAGGTGCTGAGCATTCATAGCACATTGAGTCCCCACACAGAACAGAACGCTTCATGTCTTTCAACAGGCACTAGGAGGTGTCTTGAATATCCAAAAGTGAAATCACCCAGAATGAAGGGCCACTTCTGAAATGTGGGCTTGTGTGGAAGGTCTTCCCCAAACAAAAGGCCTCATTCTCCACGGTTTTGAATTGTATAGTTGTTTACACCTGTGGAATTAAGTGTAAAAATGCTATGAGATCAGAACTGGTAGCATTACACACCTGCTTTGCACGAGTGTAATTGGTTGCACAAGATGCAGTATAATGGAGAGTCAGGCCCAAAGAATACTTCCTGATTACAAAGGAAAGACTTCTCATCATGTGGAGGTGAGTAAATGGATCGTTACACAGACACTACTGCACAAGTCCACAAGAGGGCAGAGTACACTCAGAATAAACATGTTAACAGCAATGCAAACATTTTCTAATAAAATCCTAAACCAAGTGCAGGCACGTATGCAGGAATTTTTGTGGGGTGTGTGTGCTTTTTTTTTTGTAAATGTGGACTGCAAGGATGTGAATGCTCTCCCCATGATTCTCCAAGTAAGTGGGGAGATCAACCCCAGCTTTCCTCCAGCATGCCAGAGCATGAGGGAGGCTTGGGTAGCACTCTGCTCCTGCCTTCCCCTGGCCAGCCAGAGCATGCCTATTTATGGGATTATGGGGGGGGGGTCACACCCTTTGTACCCCCCTTGCGTCTGGGTCAGAGGTGTGACTCATCGGGATTTTCTGTACAAATTCAGAAGTCAGGGCAGGTTCAGCAAAAGGTCAGCAAATCTTTTCTCAAACCTAGCATTGTATTTGGAGCGTCATGAAAAGGTTTATTGCAAAATTCAGCTCTATCTGCTGAGTTTCCCTTCGAGTTTGTAGGTTCAGTTGAAAGAATCTCAGCCAGAAACTCAGGGAAGTAAACCCATGAGAAGCAGAACAGAAAACAGGCTCACACAAAGCTCCTGCAAGCTGGAATGGCTGAGTTTTGCGCAGCTCCAATCTCCAGCACTGTATCTTATGTAGTCAGCTAAAAAAAAGTTTCAAGACTTTTCAAACTTCTTTATAAACATTCTGCAGGAGAGTCAATTACAATCCATCTATCTATCTATGATATATCCATGGGATGCATACTTAAAAAAGGCCCAGGAGAGGGTATGTTTGCATTGCTATGAACTTCCTAATTGTCAGGATGGTTAAGCACTAGAATAAATTGTTTAGGGAGACTGTGGAATCTCCATCACTGGAGATATTTAAGAACAGGATAGATAAACATCTGTTAAGGATGCTCTAGATGGTGCTTGCTCCTGCTGTGAGGGAAGGGGACTGGACTTGATGACCTCTTGAGATCCCTTCTAGTATTCTATAATTCTAAGACAGGTCTATATGACTGCTACTGGCCTCCTGTGCTGCTTCATTCTAAGAGTATGTCCACACAACAGCTGTGAGCTGTAATTCCCAGCTCATGCTGAAGAAATACGTGTGCTGGCTTTGCTAAAGCTCATGCACTAGAAACAACAGTGTGGCTGTGGCAACGTGGGTGGTGACTTGGATTAGCTGCACAATACAGTCCCACCTGACCCCTCTCCCCCATGGTTTGTATTCAGGCAGCTAGCCCAAGCTGCTGCCCATGCCATTGTGGCCACTATGGCAGAGCTTCGGCTTTGCCTTGGGGTCCTGTGCTTCTCGGTAGTTGGCATTTGCCTCAAAGGCTCATTGTAATCCTCAGGGCAGCCTCTCTCCCTTTACTGGAGAGTGGCGTCTCAGACTATTGCACTACCTTCATCATAAGCCAGTCAAATGGGTTTGGGGGTGAACCCCTTTTTAGTCCCAACATCCCCCTTCTGGGGTAGTATCTGCAGTGGGCCTGCCCTCTGCTCCCGCAGCAGCAGGTAGTGTTTTCTCCACCACCAGAGCTGCCGCCTTTCCTGAGCCACTTCCCCAACCAACTCCTCCCAGTACCTTATTTCCTGGTACCAAACCACATCCTTCCACTCTTCCACAGTGCACTTCTTCTCTTCCAGGCCTTCTGCCTCCCAGGAGGGAAACCTTTTAAACTAGCCCCAGCAGGCCCTTATGGGCTGCAAGTATTCTGATTAGTCTGCCTCTTCCTTGCTTCTTACAGGCTCTTAATTGGCTCTAGGAGCCACCTGCTTGCTTTACAGCAGCCCCTCCTCTCACTCTGGTCACTCAGGGAACAGAAAACTATCTGTCCTATGGTCAGTATGGGTACATCTAAACTACAAGCCTCTTTCGAAAGAGATCGTCTAGACAGCCACAAGACTTTCGAAAAAGCAATCCGCTTTTTTGAAAGAGAGCACCCAGGCAATCTGGATGCTCTCTTTCGAAAAAGCCCTGTTTGCGTTCAAGAAAAACCTTTTTTTCCAAAGAGCTCTTTTGAAAAAAGGCGTTCTTCCTCGTAAAAGTAGGTTTACGAATATCGAAAAAAACCGCTGTGTTCTTTCAGTTTAATTTTGAAAGAACGCGACGGCAGTCTAGATGCAGGTGAAGTTTTTTCAAAAAAAGGCCATTTTTTTTTTTAAACTCCATAATCTAGATACACCCTATGTGTGCCTTCTATCAAACGACTATAGCCCAAAGGTCTGGGTCTGTCACACCACACTCTTTTGGCATTCCCACTCCAGCAGAGCTAGTGCACATACATCCACTCAAGCTGGGAACTAACCTCCCAGCTGTTGTGCACATACTGTAAACAGCACATTAATAGCATGTCAAAACTCACACAGTAGGAGATGAGAGGAAAACTGTCCTCATAGCCATGTGAGAGGATGGAGCTATGGGGCTAATTTACACGCTCTCATACACCCAGAATTATACAACATAGGGATGTTGTAACAGAGTTTATTGTATTTCCACAATGGAGGTGACAGAAAATATTCCACTTTATTGTCTTCTTATGGTTGAATAAACCACATACTAGTGACACACTGTGACCCCCTTATTCTAATGTAACAGTCGTGTGCACATAGCCTTGACTGTGCAATGTTTCTTGACACTGTTGTGTGAAAGAGGATTTATGCTGTATTGTAGAATCCTATAAAATAATCAAAGCCCTTTCCCAATTCAGTGCCAACTTTTCTGCTCCCTGCTGAGCCAACTTTATGGTTTCAGGGGCCTTTTCACTCTAATTTCTATTACTGGGAGTGGAGGCTATTTTAGCCACATTCATCCCTGAGGTAAGTGGTTGAGGTATGCTGATGAGCTCCAGGGAACCCAACCCACTTGCACCAGGGATGAATTTGGCTCTGTTTTGCTGATTTACATTTTGCTTAACATATGTTATGTTGCCAGTAGTGTTTCTGAACGTAGAGAATGATCTATAGCTCCCTGAAGTTAAGAGGAATCCTTGCATTGGCTTCAATGAGCTTTGGATCAGGCCTTTAACAATGAAAAATAAAATAAAACATGGTTTCAGCCTGGGGAGAACGGCAGAGGGGAAGATTCCCCAAAAGATGCTATCAGAGTGGAAGGCAGACCAATGAAAGTCCTGCCATGTGCTCCTACCAACATGGGCAATTTCAGAGGCAGAAAGGGAGTGCTCTCCCAGTCTGTATTTAATGTTCAGTTCTTAGTCTATGCTTGCCTCAAATTCCTCTGCATGCTAATGGACGCTGACGTAAAACTAACCCTTACCCAGAGCTAAGAATGGCTCAGGAATTCATGACTTCATACTGTCCTTTTTTTAAATTCATACAAGCCAAATCCTGTCCTTATAATAACGTCAGTTTTGCCTAGTTGATGGCTGTATAAGGACCACGGGTTTTTTACTGAGAAGTGCCAACTCCTGGGGTCTTTAATTTGATTCTAATCTCACATGTTGGTGTAGGCATCAGGAAGAACTCTGATGAAAAAGTCAATAAATTCCCCAGTTTAAATATAGAGTTGCACCTGCAACACAGGCCCTCTCTGTGTTTACTGAGAAGAAGTCTTTTTGAAGTCACTAGGAGTTTTGATTGAATATGGGCTGAGTAAGGATTTAGCCCTTAACAACTAACCCTGACAGCATTATTTGGGTAAAGTCATCATTCACTCCCATTGGATTTTGGCTTGACTAGAGCAGCCAGAAATACTAACATTTTTAAAACAGAAATGTCACTATATCTCCTTTCATGCACCCACTTAGTAGCTTGTTCAAATGAACATGAAGGTAAATGAAAAACCCAGTTGCCTTTTTCTTAGTGATACAATTTCATCATCCCCAAAGAACTTTTCCACTCCCCATGTTCCTGGCTGTTTGACAAATGATATCTGAACACTGACATGGCTTTGAAGCAATCAGAATAATTGGATGCCAAACCTGACATTGCTTGTTCTTGCTCCGACTAAAATTCCTTTTTGTGCACCCAACAGAAGTTTTAGCATTTTGTTCTCCTGGAAGATGGGAGTTATGAACCTGACCCTGCCTTTTTGTAGCTCAGTGGCACTCAGGGGTGCAAAAAAATGCAAGATTACACTCTACAAAGAATGATTCTGGTTCAACTAAATGTTAAGCCTCCCATTAACTTCAGTGTTATCAGGATCATGTTTAAAGAAGGCTGTTCTCCTCTGATTTGTGTGTGTGCATTAAGTGAGGGTGGGCAATATGTTTTAAAAAACAACATACACTTGATTTGGCATGGCTCTCTATTTCATCCACAGTAGATGAATGTTGATTGCAAACTTTAATGTTCGTTTTTTCATGCATATTTTTCTCGTATTCTCGAACATCATCCATA